GTAAAATCGGGATCATGTCAGAGTAGCGACAAGGGTAGGCAAATCGCTTGAGAAGGATACAAAGGCCCTCGGTTCCATCACATACTGTTCCTTGATCACATTTAAATATAGCAGGAATTTGCAGTGCGTCTTCAAGGCGAGATGTGTGATGCTTGTCTGCCCTGAAATTGGCTGAACACTCGGCTCCATTTTGGTCCCGGCAAAGAAAATTTCGGATACTCTTGGTAAGGAAAGTCCAAATTATCTGACTTGCTCTCCTCCTAAGGCAGCAAGAATTTTGCATCAGTAATAAAGCCCATTGCACGACTTATACACAGCAGTTCTCGAGTTTCCCTGAAAGAAGCCATATTAAGCTCGAAAAAATCGCCGCGTTGCTCGCAAACTGAAGAACCTTAACATAATTTTCCCGCCACGAGCGCGGTGCACTCGACCCAGGCTCTCTTCGACGGTCGCGTACCTCAAGGCGCCCGCGTCCCCGTATCTTATGGTCCCTAATTTGTTTTGTAAAAGTATTTCGCTATGCTTCAATAACCTTGGCTCAGATTGGTCAAAAACTGCATGGAAATGAAGTTGGAGTTGCGAAACGAGATGAAAGCGGCGTTGATTGTTTTGTTTTCCCCTTCTCTGGGTTCTTTCTAGGGAATTAAAAGTCCATTCCCAAAGAAAAAGTAGGCAGATCTTTATCGGCTTGTTCGCTTGTTGCCATGTCTAGTTTAACTTTTTTGCGGAAGTTTTTCCCGTTTTTTAATGAAAATGCTGAAGTCACTCGCGAGAAAAAAATTTTTTCGCGAGGCATTTGTTTGCCGACCTCACCAGCGTGCTCAATGGAATATTGAAGCACGGTCGCGTTATTGAATTTGAGTACGCGAATTTACACGCTACCGTATTTTCTCGATTAAACGCCGAACCCCGATTAAACGCCGGCCTCGAAAAAACAGGGTCAACACTGACGATTTTTTATTAAACGCCGGGGGCGTTTAATCGAGAAAATACAATTGTTTTAATACAAATTAGTGTGGATGGGGCCTGTTTTAATTTTTTATATGCAAATACGCTGGTCTAATCAAAGTTCATGTAACTTGATCCCGTTGACCATAAGTTTTGTGGACCACAACAAATTACCTAGGAAAAGAGTCGATTTAAAAAAAACTAATTATGGGAAATTTTCATTCAAGTTTAGGGGAGCAAAAATGTGGAATGAATTACCTAAAGACCTGAAAGAATCAAAATCATATACACAATTTAAGAGATTAATGA